CTTATTGGTTATCATTACCATACGGTCTGAAAACTTGTTCTTCTATTGGTCAGTTTAAAGATCTACTATCACAACTGAACTAGACGCAATAATTATCATCGAAGAACATTCTCGAATACCTGGGTGATGCACGAATTTTGATAGTGCTCACTTCCGTTAATCGTTTTTCTTTGTAATTTTCCATTCATTTTCTGCTTTAATTCATATTTGCTTTGTTTTCCTAGCTTACTATTGCCGTGGCTGGCTCAACGCCCTTGTCTCAGGGGATTCTGTCCCTGCATTAGCTATGCTTCTCACATGCTATGAGATTGTGTCTAATAATAATAATAACATAAAAGTGGAGTAGGTGCTGCAGCTGATCATTTTTTCGCAGGTTGTGGGACTAAACTAATACCAGTATGACGAATACTGTGGCCAGTAAGTATGCGAAGTGTATCGGGGATGCATGCAGGGTGATAGTGCTGGTTCGAATTAGGCCTTGACGGATTATGCCAGCATAATATTTCGCATAATTCCTACCAAAATAGAATAGAAATACAGCAGCTAACAAGTACAAAAAGCGAAGTTTGCACCTTTGTAATGTGTGAATATAGTGTATGTGAGAAAGGTAGTGGCAGATGAATGTGATACTGTGTGAATGAATGTAATGGTGCGTGTGTATTATTTGAAGAGTGTGAGTGATACAACGTTTTCTTTCTGTTTACATAGCACAGGGTCACGAGTACGAATATACACAGCTTCCAACACCTGCAGTTGCTTGAAGAAACGTGCGCAACGAATAACACTAAACCAGGAATCGTCAAACACCTTACGACATTCTGGACTGGACACCAAATGCTTGTACACTGCAGACTTCCTCTTGTCAACATCAAACTCCTCCTCATCACTACTCTCATCCTCCACCTCCATTCCAATGCCGTGGAAGCGGTGTCGCGAGGAGATTGAGACTGATGACGACGAATACGAGTGCGATGGGATGGACGGCGGCATTGGAATGGAGGTGGAGGATGAGAGTAGTGATGAGGAGGAGTTTGATGTTGACAAGAGGAAGTCTGCAGTGTACAAGCATTTGGTGTCCAGTCCAGAATGTCGTAAGGTGTTTGACGATTCCTGGTTTAGTGTTATTCGTTGCGCACGTTTCTTCAAGCAACTGCAGGTGTTGGAAGCTGTGAATATTCGCACTCGTGACCCTGTGCTATGTAAACAGAAAGAAAACGTTGTATCACTCACACTCTTCAAATAATACACACGCACCATTACATTCATTCACACAGTATCACATTCATCTGCCACTACCTTTCTCACATACACTATATTCACACATTACAAAGGTGCAAACTTCGCTTTTTGTACTTGTTAGCTGCTGTATTTCTACCTGAAACCATTATTAGCTACATGTATATAAGTGTGTGTTTTAGTTATTACATTTTTATGCGACGGCGTTCCACTGATGACAGTCACGAGAAAACGTTATGAAACTTGACTTTCTTCATTTTTGCTGTTGTTATGAGTGCACAATTTATCTTATTTATTGCCATTTTACGACTATTGTCTCCTCGTCGATTGTTTAAAATAGAATAGTTGCATAATTCGAGGCAAATTGCATACGAATCGCATAATTGGACAAATCCGCCTGTTCCCATCAAATTCCCTACAGTTGTACATGTTCTACAAGTACAAGTACAAGTAGATCCACCAGAAAGTCGTAGTTTTACGACTCCCTTGATAACATGTCCAGTCCACTACAATCAGTGACGGTCTTAGCTGCATGTACATGTACATGTAGGTCGGACGGTGCGTGGACGCCGTTGAGCTTTTGCTACTACAGTAAAACGCCCTCTTCAAAAAAATTCCCCTGTTCTTTTGCACAGAACCATCATTGTACATTAGCAGCATATGTAAAATAATGCGGCATAATATGATTACTTTTAGCATAAAAATAGCATAATTCTGCAATTTTTTGAGCAATGCGAAAAGCATAATTTCACGAAAATATTAGCATAATCCGTCAAGGCCTAGTTCGAATCCCAGGTTATGTCTAAAAACAAAAAATAGAAACTTATAAGAATTTATAACATCCCTATACGTTTTTTGTCTAGATCATCAAGGCAAAAAAGCATAGCGTAGGGCCCTGAGCTTCCAAGCTCTCTCGTTTTTCATCGAAAGTTCACGAGAAGAAAACAACCCATTCGTTTATTACGCTCCTGCTAGTAGCAGTTAAGCATTCTTGTGTGGGGTAGTACCTTTGCTGTTTGCTTTCCTGACGTGTCAGTTTGAGCACTCTGACAAGTTACGTTCCTGCTTGGTTTAAATCTGGCTTGGAAACTATTTTTTTTCATTGTCACCAGGTTCGGGCTCATTTCCTCTGTGCTGCACTGCTGAGTCCACAAAGGACGAAACAGTTCTGTCCGCAGATTAAGTAACAATCCATTTATAAAACCTTTTTTATCAATTTTTGTTCGAAAGTACAAATAGGATATCACGAAGTTAGGGAGGGTTCCTCTCCAGAGATACGAGTAACATTTTCAAACTTCATCTCCGCGTAATTAGTCACCATACATTTATCCAAGAACGGAATTCCTCGCTATGGTTTGGAGAATGTGAACCAAGAGCGCAGTGCGGATAGGTGACGAATTTCAATTTATTTTCAAATGGCAGAGTTCGTCGCAACTTCTGAGTTATCTTCACCTTGCCGTTTAAGTGGAAGTAGTAGTAGTAGTATTTTATTTGGGTATACCCAACAGCCTGGCAACAGGCCTATAGCCTTCTTACAGAGTGCCCAAGGAAAAATTGTGAGCAGCTAGCGCGAAAAGCAGGCAAGGAAGGCTGAGATCGTATGATCGTAGGTAGTGCACGAAGAGCGGTCTGCACCAAGAAATGAGGGACTGTAGAGGCCTGGCCTGGACATGAATAGGGTGAGAAAGATACTACTAAATGTTTTGCCTCTGGTCTGGGAGGTAGTGGGGGAAGCATCAATTCGGGTCATGAAGATTTGTGAGGTGAGGAGACTGCCAAGGGACCTGATGCACCGGAAAAAATGAACAGCTTCAAATTTTGGCAATAATCATATCTGACTAATGTATGGTGTAACCTTCACATTCGTACACGCTACATTTATCTGTGGTTGCTTGCGTAATGCAAGAGGGACTCTAGTAAAGGCCCTGCAGTGAGAGTCGTCACAGACTGGAAAGAAAATCACATCCATTTTGAGCTAAGCAGGAGTGTTTGCGGGAGACCCAAAAACGCGACATAGGAGAACAAGACACGGAACGTGAGTTTTATTCCCGTAGCTATGCAGAGGACGTTACTTCAGTAACGTCGGGCGCTAGCCAGGATCCACACTTTTTTCTTTTCTTTTTTACAGTTTGGAACGCGAATACAGTCTAATATGGAAAACCGAGAAATCATAACAAACCGAAAACAGCCTGATAATAATAGCAAAAGCAAATGATTAGTGTCCTGGGACCACTGCCTCAGCTGCAACAAGCGAAGCAGGGGAGTTTGAGCCAACAGGGGCGCGCAGAGTGCGGGATCCACGGAGGCACATCACACTAGCACGGAGGAGGGCAAAGCTGAGTCTACAGTGGACCCATGCCATGACGGTGCTGTAAGGCTCCCTGGTTTTATCAGCAAGCAGGAAGGTAATCCTCTTGTAGAGTGCATTGCAATGCCGACTCATCCCACCCGTTGTGGCAAAGACTGCTGGAACAGCCGATGCATGTTCGATATCACGCACACTTTGCTCATAATCCCAGCGCTTCTCCTTCTCCTGCCGAGTGTAGGTGGAGGCCAGTGGAGTGGCTCGATTTGAGGACGCACACGGGTTAAACACCCTGACATCAATAAACGTGCGCTCAAATCGGCCACCCCAAAGGACACTGGAAGATATATCCAGGCGGACCTATTCCTGAACATTGGCGGAGCGAATGCGAAATTGCTCTCCGGTTACCGGGTGGAGGTGAGACTCCACTGCCACATTGTACGCCACCTTCTTCAACAAAGTTGCGGTGATGTCGCGCACGTCATTGTGGCGGATGGAAGGGAACCCACCTGTGGGGCATGACCCCCCCCCCCCCCCAGGGTCCACACAGCTTTAATTTGGTATATGTTTGTTTGTTTGTGTCATGCTTGGCTCTATCCCGTATCTGTCCCGTAACGTACCGTACCATCAAAGCCCCAATATTCAAGTAGGGCTTTCAAATGCAAGATCATAACGTGAAGCAACTGGGAGGAATTAGTTTGTATGCGAAGTGTATCGGGGGATACACGCAGGGCGATAGTGCGGGTTCGAATCCCAGGTTATAGGAGAAACGAACATTTTAAAACATCCCTATGCTTCTTTTGCCTAGGTCACCAAGGCAAAAAAGCAAACTTAGAGCCCTGAACTTCGAACCTCTCGTGTATAATGAAGATTTTCCATGAGACTCAGCCAGGCAGAGTTTTCGCATCCACACGAGTGTCAAAACTCTCCAGGATCAAGCCGCAGATCAGACCGACCATCAAGTAGTCAATGACCGAAAATCCCATTTGCTGCATCCATGTTTTCCTTGTGCCAGGCTACGAGTTAACTTTATGGTGAACCACACTTCCCCTATCCGATACACATGTACTTGCCTTGTATGTTTTCATTGCCTATACGTTTCATTCAGTATTTTAACGGTCCTTTGAAAGGAAAAGAAAGGACATCACGGCAATGTCTAGAAAGAGTAGATAACGTAGAAGGTAAGTGAAACGGTCTCCCTCTGCAGTAGAGGTGTAAGGGGAATGAAATTCGGAAAACTTGTCCTGTGGTACTTTTTGGTTTTGTTGATGTCGTTTCTTTTCCTTTCAAGGAATCCTGATTATGGCGTACTTTGTGTGTGCAGACGCCAACAACATCAAGCTGGCCTGAGTAGCACGGCCCCTCCACCACTACCCGCATTTGTTAGGGAGCATAGTGGACGTAACCCTGCTAACTTAGAAACATTGTTGAGTCACACCTACATTACAGCGTCACTTACCTTAAACTGAAGCACCATAGTGCTCGTCTCTACTGGTTGCAACACTGTTGAAAACCAGCACTGGGAAATGTTCCCAATAACAATGGTAAATTCAAATCCGGCCAACAAAACCCTATAGGAGACAACAGAAGGATAGGAACCATCGAGTTACCTTGAATCAATCACCATTCACCAAACAAAACTAACCAAATGTTTCAACATACCAGCTGTTGGTGTATATTCCAAGATCAATTGGGTGTAGCACAAGGATCACGATAAGGTTCGTTTGCCTTGCGAAAATGAGCGCTGCTTCTGGGAGCAAAGCCCTCAATGAAACAAATAAATTACTATTTGCTCGCTTTCTGCTTTGACTCTCTGCAGGCATATGCCAAACACACGCACGAGGAGTGCCGTGATATCAGTCTATGGTACTCCGCAGCAGCTCAGTTGGCTGCTGCACGTAGATATCCTTTGCTGACTTACTAACACAAGCCTAAGCAGTGGCGGATCCAGCAGGGGTTCCAGGGGTTCCACGGAATCCCCTAAATGTTGTAAATGTACAACTGGTAACCAGATGCGTGTATAATAACACCACGTTCTATACTAGCCTAGTCCAAGGTGTTGGTGAGAAAAATTTCCATCGTCGCAGTGGCGGATCCAGGAGGGGTTCCAGGGGTTCCACGGGACCCCTGAATTTCGTAACTGTACAACTGGTAACCAGATGCGTGTCCATGTACATGTATCAGCTATTCAGTTTTGACTATACTGGAACCCTCCCCCCCCCCTCCCCCTTTATACCTCACTCCATATTAACCCACATATAATTGGCCATCTACATAAGTGGTGAATATGTATAGAATAAACACCGATGTCGTAGTGTTTATGGGAATATAAACCCTGCTATAAAAACCGAGGCGTAGCCGAGGTTTTTTTAGACAGTGTTTATATTCCCATAAACACATGACAGAGGTGTTTATTCTATTTAAACCTAGCTTCGTTTTTGGCCTGAAATTATTATTATTATTATTTTCACTAGTTTGAGGGAAAGAGACAAACGGGAAAAATCTGAAGAAAAAATTGACTGTCACCACCAGGACTCGAACCAGGGACCCTCGCTTGTAGCTAGCGATGCTCTAACCACTGAGCTATGGTGTAGTCGTCATCCCAGCAGAGACTGTTCAACATTTTCTTCAGACTTCGTAGCTCACACTTCCTGTGAATCCACACAGGCAGGTGGGACGCAGCCCTCACTGTACCCACACACTTCACGTACACTCTAGCACGCGTGGAGCCCCAAGTCATAACATCTTCACTAGTTTGAGGGAAAAAGACAAACGGGAAAAGTCTGAAGAAAAAATTGACTGCCACCACCAGGACTCGAACCAGGGACCCTCGATTGTAGCCAGCGATGCTCTAACCACTGAGCTATGGTGTAGTCGTCATCCCAGCAGAGACTGTTCAACATTTTCTTCAGACTTCGTAGCTCACACTTCCTGTGAATCCACACAGGCAGGTGGGACGCAGCCCTCACTGTACCCACCCACTTCACGTACACTCTAGCACGCGGGGAGCCCCAAGTCATAAAATCTTCACTAGTTCGAGGGAAAGAGACAAACGGGAAAAGTCTGAAGAAAAAATTGACTGTCACCACCTGGACTCGAACCAGGGACCCTCGCTTGTAGCTAGCGATGCTCTAACCACTGAGCTATGGTGTAGTCGTCATCCCAGCAGAGACTGTTCAACATTTTCTTCAGACTTCGTAGCTCACACTTCCTGTGAATCCACACAGGCAGGTGGGACGCAGCCCTCACTGTACCCACCCACTTCACGTACACTCTAGCACGCGGGGAGCCCCAAGTCATAAAATCTTCACTAGTTCGAGGGAAAGAGACAAACGGGAAAAGTCTGAAGAAAAAATTGACTGTCACCACCTGGACTCGAACCACGGACCCTCGCTTGTAGCTAGCGATGCTCTAACCACTGAGCTATGGTGTAGTCGTCATCCCAGCAGAGACTGTTCAACATTTTCTTCAGACTTCGTAGCTCACACTTCCTGTGAATCCACATATGCGGGTGGGACGCAGCCCTCACTGTACCCACACACTTCACGTACACTCTAGCACGCGGGGAGCCCCAAGTCATAAAATCTTCACTAGTTCGAGGGAAAGAGACAAACGGGTTATTATTTGTATATGCATTTCCGCGTTGAAGTGAAGCAGCAGTATGCTGCGTCCACAGCTTCGCTTATGCAGAATGGCTTGGATGAGAGGAGAGGGGAGAGAAAGCAACGAGGCAACCAACATCTATGAAATAGCCTCAAATAGGTCAAAATAACATAAAGAGAACCAACCTACATAGGTAGGTACATTTTTATTTGAATTCGCAGAACCAAACGAGCGGTGTCGCCCAATTACATGGAAGCGAATGGAAACAGTAAAATATTGTAGGAAATAGCCTAACATGATAGCAGGGTGTAGTACAAAGCAAAGAACGCTCAGTCAATGAATAACGTTAACGTTAGAATACAACAACGGGGAGGCGGTAAACAGCACATGACTGGTACTGTGGAGTACCGCAAACGTTCAAACATTCCTGTAGTGTTCAGTAGTGGGTGCTACTTCTAGCAAGACAGAACTGGAGGCAGGCTTGTTTGAACTGGTGGTGCTGGGTGACATAATGCATGATTGCACAAGAATGAAGACGACAAAATATAATGGCCATAATCATTGTGCCACAAAACCGGATCACAGGAGATCTGTCGACAATGTAACGAAACATAAAACTCAGTTACTCAATACAGGTTCCACTAAATTACAAGAGACAAACGCTAAAACATTAGTGTTGCAAACCAACAGTTCTCAATTGGGAAAGGCCTTCGCGCTTATGGCATTGTATTCGTTGCAATGTTGTATTTCGACTCCGCCGTACCGCTGATGTTGCTGCATGGCATACGCTATATGCGCTGTGTGCGTTTTGCTGTATACGCTGTTATGTCCAGTTATATAATGCGTATGTTTTGCATGTACGCTGTTTTTGCATGCTATAAATAGCTGGTGTTATTAGTGTTCATTCGATGAAGTGAAATATACTGTGTAAAGGAAAAGAGTTGTCCTCGTGCCGTGTGGTCGTACGATCCTGACAATCTAGCGTATGCCATGCAGCAACATCAGCGGTACGGCGGAGTCGAAATACATCATTGCAACGAATACAATGCCATAAGCGCGAAGGCCTTTCCCAATTGAGATCTGGTGGTTTGCAACATTCTCTCCACCAAAGGGCTTCTCACCGCCGTACAACAATGCACACAAGTCAAAAGCGAACCGGGGCTCTGACTTCGCGCCCAGAACGCGTCATCTCCTGCTGCCGTTGTGGTGGTAACGGTGCTGACGGTTCGTACGCTGGCTGCTGAGGGACGATAGCAGGTTGAGCGGTATCGGACAGCCCAGGAGCCACGTCCTGTGACGATACCAATGGCACTAACCTTTGGATCGGCCTCAACAGGGTACTGGTACTCAACTTAACCTTGGCAACACGACGCTTACCATCTCGACCAGGGAATAACTCGATGATCCGTCCCAAACGCCAGAACTGTTTGCGCTTGGCATCATCGAGAACAAAGACAACATCACCCACAGCTAAAGTGCGCGACATGGTCTGTTGGTGCTTGTTCAGCTGACTTAGGTACTCCACCTCCCAACGATTCTTGACATGCTTCAGTGTCCGCCTGAGGTAGCGCAATCTCGATGACATCTGCGCAGTGTCCAGGGTACCTGCTGGCTTCTCTGACGACATCCAGATGTTACCCATCATCATTGCAGGGGTTACTGGTGGCTCATCCAGGCTATCAGACACATAAGTTAGCGGACGACTATTCACCACTGCTTCAACCTCATACAAGAGGGTCTCAAGCTCATGGACCTTCAGAAACGCTGTTCCCATTACCTTTTTCAAGGCACTCTTCACTGTACCGACCATTCGCTCATAGAAGCCTCCATGACATGTTGCAGGTGGAGGATTATACAACCATGGCAAACTCAGTTTTTCAGATGCCGCCTTGAACGTTGTAGCGTTATCAGACCTGATCCGAGACGGCAAACTACGTCTCGCGACAAACTTCCAAAATGCTATCAAGAATGACTCAGTACTTAAACCATCGGCCACCTCCATTTCCGCAGGTATAGATTCCATCCTCGAGGTTTTCTCACTTCCTGATTACCCCCCTTCTTTACCAGTACCCTTTTCGCTTGCTTCTACTCAGACTTCTTATTTAACCTCTTCACATTAATCTTTTTTTATCGTAATATTTTCTTTCTTTTAAGAATTGCACCCTATTGCACACGCATTGTACACGTATATTAATTCTCGGAGACCCCCTTGATTTAGGCTTCGGCCTTTGGGGAATCCCTCAAATAATAATAATAATAATAATAATAAGTGAACTGCTCTGGTGGTGGTACACACAAACAATGCTATCCATACCTTCGGAGATGACTCACCACGGCGCACGTACAACGGACCAGCATAGTCGATGCCGGTAGTTGCGAACGGCCTCTCTTGCACAACTAGGTCTTCTGGCAGCGGCAGGCGGACTTCTGAGGCAGCCTTAGCCTTGTAGCGGCGGCACGTAACACATCGCTGAGTAATGTTGCGTAGCGCTCGTCGACCACCGATAATCCAGAATTTCTGACGGATGAACGACAAGACTCCTTCCACACCTTGGTGCATCCTTTCAACATGCATTTTCTCCAACAGCAACTCGGTCAGATGATGTTTGCCTAACAGGACTAGGTGCTTGGCTCCATACGCCAACTCGCTGTGCTGAAGTCGTCCCCCGGCTCTGAGCACTCCATGCTCATCCAGAAACGGTGCAAGCTGATACACCTTCGACCCAGGCTTCACTGGTTGACCTTGCTTGATCAGCTCAAGATCCTCAGCGAAACATGCAGTTTGAACGATGCGGTACAATACGTTGTCTGCTGCAAAATAGAGTTCAGCACGAGGCTCAGTGTGCTTCCACCGCTACATCCGAGTCACCATGGCCTGTGCCCTCGACCATTTACTGAATCGGAGCCACCATTCCTTTTCAGATTCTCGACCACAGGTGGTGGGTGATACTCGTACTTCTACACTGGACTCATCTGTAGCTGCGGTTGAGGATGCGGTGGGCCAGTTATTGGGCCCCGTGATCCAGGTTGGTCCGCCCCTCCAGAACGGACTACGGATATGCGGTGCACTACTCCCACGCGACGGTAAATCTGCTGGGTTGTGAAGGCCCGGGCAATGGTTCCACACAATGCCGACCTTCTTCGATA